TAAAATTGAAGAAGTTATGAAGAAAATGGCCAAAGATAAAGTACAAAGCTTGAATAGAGTTAGTATTTAACTTTTAAAATCTTCTAATATATCATTGGTAATGATTGAATTTTTACAATTAATTGTGCTATAGCTTTAGGTTAATTTCTATCTTATATTATTAAAAGATACATCACCTTTTTACACAGAAAAGATGATAAAAAAGCTAAGTAAGTACAAGCCAATTATCTTATTAAACACCTTTTATAAAACTTACACTAAAGTTATCTAAAGACGGGTCTAAGTAGTTTTCAAGGAAGTTATTTACCTTGACAAACTACTTTTTTTTTGGAGATTTATCTTAAATAATATATTGGTTTCCAAAAAACCATCAATTAGGCCAAGACTTCAAAATAACTCTTTATTCTTTTAAAAATCGATTTTTTTAAAGCCTATAATAAGATCACTAGGGATTTTATATTCACTGTACTAGAACCACTTGGCATTGACAGTTCTTTTTTTTATATGATTAAAATTAGTCTCGAATGTGTAAACATCATGGAACATCAATAAAACTTTTACAAACTATTTTTCAATAGAAAGAGGTATGAAATAAGAAGTCATTAGCTACCCTATTCTTTCATCTTGGTTGACAAAATTTTCAATATTTCTATTCAAAATGCTTTCTAATAATGACATCTATGAGGTATTTTTATTTTTTAAAGTCATCATTAATAAATTATTAGCTAGTATGTTTTTTATGACTCTACAATCATGGTCTATGAAGAGGAAAAAAATATTCTCTATTTAATGAATACTATCAAGCAATTAAATATGACTTTAGAGCTGGATATAAATTGGTCCAAATAAAATAAAATAAAAACAATAAAATGGACAAGCTTAATCATATCAATTTGGACAGGCATGAACATCCAACATCAATATTAGTATGCTCTTTGGAACATCCTTTGATATTTCTTTAAACACATAGAATGTTAATTTACTTTTGATCAATAAAACAAGAAAAAAATAAGAGTGTTGTTGCTTTATAAAAATCAATGTGGCAGATCAAGCAATTATTAGAAATAACATTTTGATTTTTTTATTATATTACTTTTTAGTCATATAAAATTGCTATGTTAAGGGTATTAAAAAATTTAAATCAATGGTTAATTTTCTTTTGTGGACAAGTATTACTTTTTTAACATAATTTAAAGTGGCATGTATTATTTATTGCAGAGCTTACAAAGAAGATGGCCTTAGTATTATCAATCTAAAAGATGCTATTAAAGCTTTCATGTCCAAATGGATGTTAATAGCTGTTCAATTAGGCAAGAAAACATTTAATAATTTTTTAAATAAGTATTGATGAATGCAAAATCAATGGCTTATGGAAATTGAGTATCAAATTTGATCTAGTTATTCACTCTAAATCTTAAATATAATAGTATGTCTAAAATATCAAGAAAGTTTTAAAATTTTGAATCTATATATATATATATATATATAAGTTTCTTTTGCTCAATATTCCTACATCTTTTCATAAAGTACAAAATTGTTCTTTATGATAGGATCCTTAATTTATTTTAAATAGCATTCATCTAAAATTCCATCAAGTTGCTATTCTTTACTCAAATGGCCTTCATCTTTAAAATAAATGGATCTAAATAGAAATTAATGTGAATATTATTTATTTCTGTTAAACAATCGGCCTTCATCTTTAAAATAAATGGATCTAAATAGAAATTAATGTGAATATTATTTATTTCTGTTAAACAATCCATCTTCCAAAAAATTGATTCTATAGTATTTTGACTGATTTTTTCCTATTAATACACTTATAATTAGTTTATTGTAGATACCTTAAAAGATATCCTTTTATAGATATTATATTACAGATGCTTTACAAAAAATATCTTATTTGATAATTTTTTATAAATAACTTGATAAATATTATATTATCCATATCTTATCTAATATCCTACTATAAATAATTAGTAAAATTTATTGTTATGGATAAATTATTTGATATGCTACTAAAGATATTATTTTACAAATGCCTTAAAATATATCTATGTTATAGATATCCTAAAAGATATATTATTATAAACATCTTGATAAATATTTTATAGTAGATATCTTACTATAGATATATTAAAATATATATTTTTGTAGATATCCTACGTAATATTTTACAATAAAATTCTTACTTTTGAGATATTTTATCATATACCTGATTATAAATACCATGTATATTAACTTGATGAAGATATTCTATAAGGTATCTTCTTTTGTCAAAATAACACCTTTCTTTGTCAAGAAAATACTAAATCTATCAATAGCACCTTCTTAATTTATTAAAACAACACCTAAAAGTTTTGGCAACATCTCTTTTTTTCAAAAAATACTTCAATTTACAAATTAATATCTAAAAATCTCTACAAGTACGTTTTTTTTGCCAATAAGATATTTTATTAACTTTCATCTCTTCTTTCTTATTCTCTCTTATTTTTTCAATTTTAAGTTTTATTTTTTATTTTTTATTGTTTTTATACATGATTTTCTTTCTACTCATTAGTCTCTCTGCATACATACCACATCCCTTAGTATCAAAAAGTACAAAGATATTACTATCCTTGGGTTCCTACTTCTTTTAACACATCCATTTTTCTCTCCTATACACCTACCTCAACTAGTAGTTTGCCTAAGAAACCTTTAAAAAGATCCTTCTTTGCAAGAATAAAAAATAAAAAATAAATCTTTTGCCATGGTCTATCTATTTTCTAAAATCAGTATTAAAAACACATTGATACAGTTGAACAAATGTTCAACTTACTCTTTCTAAGCCATCCTATTACTATGATTTTTATAAATAAAATTGTAGATTTATGATTGACAAATTGCATTGTAAATTAATACACTTAGTTTTAAATCTACTCAATCCAAGGAGTAACAAAATAATAATAACAAGAAAAAATCAGGAAACTTTAAGTGGAATAAAAAATATAAAGTTAAAATTAAAGATAAACTAGAAGCTAGCTGAAAACATATATTAAAAATTAAAGTAAATTTTAATTAAAAAACCATTCAAAAAATAAAAGTAAAAAGATAATGCAAATGAGGCGAAAAATAAAATATTTTTAAAAAATAAAATAATTTAGTTGAGTCAAATAATTTAGTTAATTTTTAAAAAATTTACATAAGAATAGAGAAAATCATATAAATAAATAAAAGAAAAAATAAATAATACAAAATAAAGTAGAAGTATTAGAATAAAAATTAAATAAGTTCGATAGAAAATTAAATATTAGTTTCTAAAATAAAAAAGTAGAAAAATTACTGAATAATATTGAAAAAAGGGGAAAAAAATTCTTTAAAAAATCTAAAAAATTAGAATAGGAAGAAAAGAAGGAATTTGGTTAATGTTAGAAATAATGAAAAGGTTTAAAACAATTCTATTTATGTATAAATTTATAACACAACAACATTAATAGATGCTTAGTAAGTTTATAAAATAAAATTTTATGTTCTATATTTTTTAATTATTATAAATTTATATCAAACCTTCTAAATTCAAAAAGTGAGTAAAAATATACAATTTTTTTAAAAAAAATCTTTTAAAGATTGAGTTTTAATTCTTAATTAAATACAAAAAGACTAGAAGATATATGGTTTATATTAATCAAATCAATTAAAATTAAATTATATTATATTAAATTTCAATTAAAAAGAAAATAATAATATAATAATATAATAATTAAGAAATATTTTGTGTATTTTAATCGATTAGAATATCAAATAGAAAGATTTCTAAAAATTATAAAATAGCCACAAAACAATTTACTAAATGTTATAGTGACAAAAATATCAAACTCTTCTTTAGGCTTGTTAATAAACATTCTTTCATCTTATTTGTATTTTTATTGATTATCTTATGTTGAATTAATGAATTATATAAAAAAAGAAAGATAAAAATATATTTTATAAGAATCAATAATCTCTTAACTTAAACATTACTAAATAAGATTCTATTATGAACTCACACCTTTTTTTTAATTGGCAAGAGAAATGGTTTCAACCTCAAGCACATAAGCCACATTTATTTGCCTTCTATGGCAAAAGAGAGTCACAATAAACAAATAGAGGAAACATGATAATTCTAATAAATTTTCACATAAAAAAAGCTAAAACTTTTTCATCAGACACAGGTTAAGCTTTTAAAAAAAGTGGAACAAAATGCAGATGGAAAGAAATATGATTGACTCTGGATATAATATGGTTATGAATTAGAACTCTAAGGTGCTACAAAGTGGCATAATCATGATACATGATAGTAGAAAACCCTAACATAAGTTTGTCCTAGGTTGAGTGGTTATTGTTGCTTTTATATCCACCTACCAAGAATATTAGAAATCCGACTCTGTAAATTTACTTTCTACACAATCTAAACATTGAATATACTTTGTTTTATGTCAATAAACAAATAAAGAAAGAATACATCGCCTCATTTTTCTTAATCTACTCTTGTAAAGAATAAAAAAAATATGTATCCAGTGAGAAGTCTACCAACTAAGTGTATATATATATATATACCAATCAGCCTTTCCTATATGTGTTTATATATAGTCAGTGCGGTCAAGTAAGCCTATTACCGAGCAACAACGACGACAGCAAAGCAAGAGGGGGATGGGAGTCGAGGAGGTCAGAGGAGGGGCAATTGGCACCGCGGAAGCCTGGTGCAGACCTATGACCAAGAAGGAAACGATCCCATGACCGAGCCAGCACGAGAGACTCCTCCTCCTCCAGTCCACCGACCCCTGGCTCCCTTCCATTTCCTTTCCCTTCCTTTCCTTCGTCCCTTCCTCCCCGTTTCCTTCTTCCCCATTGCTTTGCTTGCCCCCTACTTTCTAGGGTTTCACGGCTCACGGTGGCACCGATGTGATGTAATCGAGAGAGACGGAGCAGTAACTGCTCATCCATCATCACTCCGTGTGAATCATTGGGGACGCACGCAGCGTTGTCGCACACATACACCCTCCACCCACACGGATACGAGTTGGAGTTGGAGTTGAAGGAGAAGAAGCGGAAGGTTGAGTTTAAGGGGTAGCTTGCCTTGTAGCTTGGCTTTGATTTTTTGGCCGTGAGGACAGGATTGTCGAGGTGAGTTACGGGGCGGATTTTGTTGCCAGGGTTGAGGCTTTGAGGCGCTGTGTTGTTATTCGGAGAGGCCGGCGTTGTGAGGATTTCCAGGGTGGTGGATGCTGGGGTGGTGGTAAGAGAGGGAGGTGTAATCAGGGAGATTGAACGGGAAGGGGTGGTGGTGGTAGGGTGAGGGAGCAGCTGTTGAAACTGGAAGCAGGGTAGTGGTCCATCGAGAGGAGAGTGAAGAGCAGGCATGGCGGAGTCCGGTTCTGGGGGCCAGGGTCAGGGCGAGAAGCTGCAGTACTTCCAGGATGTGACTGGGGTGGATGATCCCTTGCTGGCAGAGCAGATTCTTGATGCGCATCAGTGGGATCTTGGTGCGGCTGTGGGCACCCTCATGGACAAAGCGGTATGACCCCTTGTTTTGTCTTTGTTCTTTTTTCCTGTGTGTGTTTTTATCCTGCACAAATTGGGAGTGTATGCATCGCAGGAGCAGGTCAGGCCTTGCGTCTCTAGCGGTGGGAGCATATCAATTGGATGTTGCCGAGTGTGATGGCCACCATGGTTCATTTTGTCGCGGGTTTTTGGGAAGCTTGTCCACGGCTATGCTTATCACAAACTCTCCCATCTCTCTCCCTCTCTCTTTTTCTCATACGTTTACATGCTCATTATTAGGGTTATGTCGGAGAGAGTACATCATTAGGGTCTGTTTAGTCGGCCAAGGTGAAGCCTTCAGAACGTGCAGGAGACGATGCGTCGGAGAATGCTGTATTGGAGAAGCCAAGGTTGCCAGTTTCTGGTGTCCTTGACGGTCATGTTGCTATGATTAGCTCGACCAACATCCACCGATTACTTTCGCTTTCGTATTGTTTCTGGAATTCTATTCTGGGCTCTTCGCATACTCTCTTTTACGGAGGAACGCATGCTCAACTGCTTTCGTAGTTTAATCAGCGAGTCCCTTTTGTTTTCATTTCTTTCTTTTTTGAACATGTAAATGTATACTGGGATTTGTTTTCGTCCTGGTCTACATATTGGAGATAGCGATACGTTGTGGTTAACGATAGGATGGTCGCAAGAAGTCCAATGATTTTCCCCCGCTCTGATTCTATTGTACGATGACGATTTTACGTCTTAGGAAGTCTGTTCTGGTCAATATATGTGTCTACGTAATAGAGCACTTTAAATTTTAGGTTTTACGGATTAGTATTCAGCGGTTCCGAAAAGATAAACGACTGTTGCAATTGTTACAAATTGATGAGAAATTTTTTCGTAGCTCAACCTTACATATATTACGTTGGTATTGGTTGCTTCACATTATAATTGTTTGTTCGAGACATGCTCGAAGTGTTGCCTTTGTCTCACATATGACGTCCCTTGACTGGCGCTTTGCAGGGAGATGGAGGTCCTAGAGCAGATACTGGCAGAGGAACCTCCAGTGATTGGGACTTACCGGATGAGACTACTGGTCTGCTAGAAAGGGGACTCGTACCAACCTCTGTGAACCCCGCCCATCATGGACCTTCGGAGGTGTTTGGATCACAGGCGTCGAGATCAAATTATGATAGATATCAGGGGTCTCCTCCGAGTTTTGAAGGGCCTGGGGAGTATCATGGTACACTACCTATTGTTCGCAACCGGCCAGGACCTCATGTTGTGTGGAGAGTAGTTGCCCTGCCCTTCTCAATTATACGAGGAAGTTTCAATCTTGTATACGGTGCTGTAGGTCTTGGAATGTGGATTGCAGGAGGGGTGGTTAATTTTGGACTGGGAGCGTTGGGGTTGAATGGGTCAGAGCGGCGAGGGGATCAGGGCTCATCTGTTCCATCCGGAACCGCCGAGGCGGAAGCATTTTTGCGGAAGTTTGAGCAGGAGTATGGTGTCGTTCATCCTAATTTTCAGAGGACCAGTTTTATGGATGCCCTGCGTCTTGCTGGTCAACAGTTTAAATTCCTCTTTGTGTATTTGCACTCCCCTGAGCATGCGAACACGCCCTTGTTTTGTGAGAGGACGCTGTGTTCGGAGCCCGTAGTTCAGTTCGTGAATGAAAATTTTGTGGCTTGGGGAGGGGACGTGCGAGAAAGCGAGGGATTCCAAATGAGCAATAGCCTCAAGGCATCCACCTACCCTTTTTGTGCTGTTGTAATGGGTTCAAACAATCAGCGAATTGCTCTTCTTCAGCAGGTAAATTTTTTGGACTTGCTTTAATACATGTTCATTTAATGTCGGCGCTTTTTATTCATATATGTAAGGTTCGAAATTTGGAGGGCATATTGTGTTGATTCAAGTATGCATCAAATGCTATCTGTGAGATGCGTATTTTTTCCATTAGAAACCAACTTTATGGGGGGGATTTTAGTGATCTTTACACCAGTAGACGTTGGTTGTTACCGTCGTGGCGTACTTGGAAGCTTTAGATCTTCGTGACTGGACATTATTTTCTGAAAATCGTGGGTTCAAGAATGAAAGTTTACTACACTGTTTCGTCTTGTTTATCCTTACATGAAATGATGATCTGTTTGATTATGGTTTTCAAACAGGTCGAGGGTCCCAGGACAGCAGAAGAGTTAATGTCCACATTGCAGAGAGTGGTCGAGGAACAAGGTTCAGTCCTTGTGGCATCTCGTGTTGAGGAAGAGGAGCGGCAACTTAACCGTCGTTTGCGTGAGGAGCAAGATGCAGCTTACCAAGCTGCGTTGCAAGCTGATCAGGTATAATATACATAAATTTTCTTTCTCGTAACAGAAACCAGATATTGCCAGCTTTGTGTTCATCAAATTTGACCTCTAGCTTTCACATCTTTGCTGATAGTTTGTTGTCTCTTTTTGGATGTTTAGTCTAGGGTTTGTTTATGGACTGCCTCACGGGAGTGTCGAACCTCATTACACGTTAAATTTTTGTTTAGGAGAGTGCTTATGTGAGGTTGTAATCATTTGCGATCGTTTTTACGGAGCTTTTTGCTGCAATTTATTTAATATGCTAACGGCTACCGGCGTGGGGGGGTTTGGATCTGAAATTTTTCAGGAGAGAGAGCGGCTAAGACGAGAAGAAGCTGCACGGCAAGCCAGGGAGGAGGCGGAAGCAGAGCAGAGGAAGAGGGAGGAGGAAGAAGCTGCTCGACGGGCTGTTCAAGAAGCTGCAGAAAGAGAAGCAGCCTTGGAGCAACGAAGACTTGAGAAAGCCATGGCTCTGGGTGTAGAACCTGAGAAAGGGCCTGACGTTACTCAGGTATGTATTTCAATCTTTGGCTTCTGCTTTTTGAGCAGTTTTCTCTCCATCGACTTTGTAAAGGGAAAGTGTCTCAGAACATAATGAACTTCTGGTGTAGAAGTTATACATTAGTGATAACAGCTCGATGGTTTCAAGCGAGCCTCATCTCTATGCTTTTGGCTTGATTTCTTCATCTAATTATGCAATTGTAAACCTCTTTACTGTGGCTTCTATACCAGGTGTTAGTACGCATGCCTAACGGTGAAAGGAGAGAGCGACGGTTTCAAAACTGTACCAAGGTGTCTGCAATCTACGATTATGTTGATTCGTTGGGTACACTGGAGGCCGTCAAATACAATTTGGTGACCAACTTTCCTCGCGTCGTCTATGGACCAGAGAAGCGCGGTCAAACCCTCAAAGATGCTGGGTTGCACCCACATGCCAGTCTCTTTGTTCTAGTGGAGGATAACTAGGACCTATATATGTAGTACAACTATGTTTTTAAGGATGCAAACTCTCTTCCCCAAAACCTCCTATTTTAGATTGCCTGGTAGTTTATCTTGGGCACAAGCAGAGGTGTTTTCCAGTATTTTTCCCATTCCATCACAGAATATTGCGATGGACTCCCTTGCACTCGGCTGAATTTCATTTATCGCTTGTCCCTCGGGCATAATCTAGGTCATCTAGCGTCTTCGTTAGGTACTTCTCCACGAGTTGCTTATTCCTAGTCATTCTTGCAGTCCTTGATCAGAATCAAGCATTCTAATCTGTGACTTGACTCTAGATATGTTTAGTTATAGTTGCAACATTCCGTAGACTTTGGGTAAGCGTCTATTTTTTCTCTTTAATGCGGGCTCTTGTCCTGGCGAGCTAGATTTCTTCTATGTCAGTTATGATAACTGTCCGCATCATTGTACACAAATAATAATAATATGGCTGAGGTTTGCATTGCCGCCCCGTTGGTGATGCACCATTGTTGCCATGGGTTTGTCAAGGTCGTGGTTGTCGCGTAGTCGTTTACTTGGGAGGGGAGTCATAGAAGACGTATGTATTTCCATTCATGTTGCATACGTCTTATTTCTGCGTTCAAGGTATAAATCAAATGGAGCCCAGTGTGCGAAATATTTGCAATCACTCTTGCAGTAACTCGTTAAACTTCCTAACTACATTCGTTTAACTGTATCTCTATCCTCAGTTCACTTGAAGCTGCTCTCACGAGTTGTAATTCCTTCCTGAAGAAGGCTTGCGAAGGACTGCCTGTGAATTCTTTTGGTGAGAGATTCCTAATGGATGGGCTTTTCTGAATGGATTTTTTTTCAGCTTAGAGCAGATTTGTTTTGTAAGCTTTGTGAAGGGTTGGTTTTAATTTTTCGATTGGCCGTGAGAGGACCAAGCGGATCAGAAAAGCAAATGTAGTGGAAACGTGCAGGTTTTTGTTGGTAAATCAAATATTTGAACACTTCCAAACTAATTTACGAACTTTTGTGACTCTTTGTGAACATGAATGGAATAAAACCAGAGATGAAACAGGTTGCTCAATGCACACACAATGTGATGCAACAGCAGTGTCAAGGTTTGCTAGTTGGTGAATGTGACGTTTACTTTTATTATACAACTGAACATTGGTGTTCAATCCTATTCAAGGGGTTGGTGCCCATTGCTATCATTCGAAGGAAAAAAATCCCCTGTATGCAACAACTTGGACCCATTTTAGTTCATCCCGTATTTATTGCGGTTGTTTAAGGGGTGCCCATGAAATTTGATTCGGATATTTTTAATGTGGAAATTTTTAGTTTAGATATCTCTAAATAGATCAGTAAAGAAAAGCATCACAGCTAAGTAGATATCTAGCTCTAATTATGCAGACCTGTGAACCGTCTGTATACTTCTGCAGCTTTTCCCAGTACAGATAATTGTCTCCCCTTATTATAAGTGACAATTTCAGAAGCTTCTCCTCAGAAGTGAGCCTTACAGATAAGGGAACAATTACAAACATCAACCCCAAACAAGTAAACAATACAGCTTTCACAACCTACATGTCTCGTGAAGAAACACGTCGAATTTATTAACATCAGTAGAATGAAATAGAAGCAATTTTTTTAATTCAAGAGAAATTAATCGATCAATCAATGAGACAAACCGGTGTGCAAGAAGGGAAGAGCTACAACTTGGATGCCTAGTAACACACATTGAGAAGCACAGCTATCTCAACACCACGGTTTTTATTATTATCAGGTAGCAGTCACATGACTGTCTCCACAATTTCTCAAGTTTTTCAGCATAATCAGAACCTCACGGATAAATAAGGGAAGTAAAGGTATATTTGCATGAAGTAATTTCCCAGCCTGCTCCCATGTCTACCAAACAAATTGCCCTTCAGACGCTTGAGGTTGGACATCTGTCCTGACCTAGCAACTGTAGAGGACTCGTCCTGCAGTCGGTTTGTTTAACATGGTACTAGACAGATCCAGCGTCGAAGAAGTCATCTTTCTTTCTTTTCCAGCTGTGTAGCAAACAGGCAAAAGCAATCTTTTAACTGATTACTTCGCAATCTTCTGTGCTTGAAAAGTACATATACCGATCGCAGGAAGTGAGCACTGTGTTCAAGGATTTTTACTGAAACTGTCGCTCATGTGAACGTAATCTAGTTATTTTAAGGAACGCTAGTATGGTCGTCACTTTCTGCCAAATCCTATTTCATAGGGGCCACATTTGCCCCAATAATTTAATTGCCTGATATAAATAACCCACTTGAAGTTGAAGTCCAGCACCAGTGATTGAAGGACTGTTTCGAAAAGAACGTTACAGCCTTTGATCATCGTTCCATCGTTGTAAAAAAGACTTGCCTGCCTCATATGTCGACCAGCAGATTGCAGCTGCCGGCGTATGGAATAGCATACGGGGTCGCATACCCTTCAAAAGAGCAAGTGGGCCTTCCCGTTGGATTATAGTACGGGCGGCAGCTAACACAGAGCCATTAGCGTATCTATCAGCACCACACACCCCCTGTAAGCAGATACCAAGAAAAACATTAAAACCTTGATATGTAACTAACTATCCCTGTCAAGCGTCCAGAGAAATCTTATTATCATCATCGATGATCACCGCTTGGCAGAGCCAACTCGAACATATAATTGGCGAAAATAGAATCACTGTTTATTGTGAGACATGACAATATATCACAAGGTGCAGGCAATCGCCTCTTCCATTCACTTCCTTGTGGGGCCTCAAGGAGTGCACAAAAGAGCAATACGACTGGATGTACAAATAATTGAATTATGTTGAGTTGCAGAAACCGTCAATTTGGAAGTGGTAAACGACATTAACAAGTTTAATAAATTAATAAAGCAGACAACTAACTAGGAAATCAACATTAAGCCACAGAATTCAACTGACATTTATAATCAAGCAGAAGAGGGATTGTTCAAGACCTACATTTTCCCTCAAGAGCAGAAGTTTTCTTTTTCTTTAAATCACTAATATTGTCGAAGTTCAATTCCGGTGACTAAGACTCACTTGGCATTGCAATCTTGTCTTGATTACGTCAAGTGGAGTTGTCACAGCGCTAGCTAAAGCTCCGGCAGCACCACCAGCAGTAATGTGTATCAGCAAATGTTCTTCATCTGCGTAGGCTGGATAAATATCTCCTAAAACCTGCAAAATGCAAGCTGAATCATTAATGAAATCTTATGAAACATAACCAACATATACATTGCAACATCACCGTGACCTGCTCAAACTTCGTGATTAACCCAACAACGAAACAATAAGAACACGAATACACGCCTCTCAATGTTCAAAGCCTCATAAATGTCCGGGATTAAGATGCAGAAATGACAGCAACATCAGCAAGAGCAGCTCGAATAGTTTCCCACTAATTTACGAACAATCGTGACAAGATTAGTGTAGCGGATGTTTCATGACGTAAAACTCGCACTTCTAAGTTCAAACTAAATAAATACATCCCGAAAATCATTACGCTCGGGGGACTTGCGCCATAATCTAGAACCAGGATATCACTCTGTTCCACTCACGTATAGAGAGTATGCGACAACAATACTTGGGCAAGGATAGAAGCGAATCAATCGTTATAATAGATGACTACATCACTGAGAATATACATTTGAACGACCCTTAAAAAAGTTAAGAGAAACGGTCAACTCTCCAACAAACGGTGGAGCTGGAATCAGAAGAATATAGCAGCAATCCAATTTTCAAGTTGAAAGAGATTCAGCAATTAACGTAGTGTTCTCTGTAAAAACCTAAACAATCTACTTTTCAAGAACATCGTCCAGTATTCAGAGCCGGAAATCCTGAACCTCGCTACACCAGAATATGTAAGTAACGATGGGCGAGGCGAGGTTTACATTATCACAAGAGTGCGAAAGCGATACTCCACGTGTCCGAGAATCGTAGGCTCCAAAAGAATTATCTCACTATTGACCGCAGGCAAACCCAGCACGGCTAAGAGTGGCTTAGCGAGCTCTAACTTTAAGTGATTGATACATCTAAATGAAAATTAACTATGCGAGCATCAGATGCAATCCAGAATTCATTACAAATAAGAATTAAAATACGAGAACCACTAGACTAACCAGACACATGACTTTCAATTGGAAATTGCGGGATTGTATCTACGTCATCACGCACACCCCCTCCAGACAGGGACCAGGCAAGTACGATCATTCAGTACAAGAATGCGGACTTGACTAGCAGGCGAGGCCAGGCCAGACGAATATGAACACTTCCACCCTGATACGTTAGGATGGACGTCTTAGGCAAGCTTGTCACTCACTAAGAGTCCAGTAGCACGCTCACTGAAGTCTAAAACAGTGCAAGAGATACATCCGACCACTCCAACGAGAAAGTTCCTCTCTCCCGATGATAATAATACGCTAGCCCCAATGTTTTACTACCAACAAGTGTTTAACTAAGACGAGTGCACCTCGCATCAGAGTAACAGTTCCAATATAAGTGACTGCCAGCAAGTACTCTCTCAAAGAACTTCAAGATCGGCCGGCTAGCAAATTACTTGTACGAATCACTCCCTAGCGATTTGGCTTGATGATAACTACTATTCAGGTAACCGCCTAACTGTTTCCAATTTTTGAGGAAAGACAAATAAATAGTCACATGGAAAAGCTTCATGGAACACCAATCATTGAGGAAATCAGGCGGAGCTAGTGAATTCCTCTAAAGACAAAGTGCTCGCGTCTTTTCTAAGATCCCGACAGCCCTCACACTAACTCATTGTATAATATAGTGACCCATCCAACGAATGCAAACAAAACGAGAAAATCCGGCAATATCCAAAGCCTTTCAAAATCTCGCTCCACGAGAATCCAACTTTGAGATTAGCATCCAATGGAAAGCATACCTTCTTCCCAGCTTCGTAAGACGCGAAGTGAACAGCAGTGAAAGGGATGCTCATCACCACAGTAGTCCTGTACGACTTGTAAAATGCGGACGGGCCCTCCTCCTTCAATGTTTTCTTAATGCAGTCCAGAACCCCGGAGTAGGGGCTGTGACGCAGCTGCAACCGCTGCTTCACCACATCCATGGGCGTAAACACAGCGTCACTGGCAATTGAAGCTCCAGCTCCTGCAAGTGCATACGCTAACGGATGATGTCCGACTTCATTCCCCCCAAAATACTCCTTCAACGACTCGTACGCGGCAAAGTACACAGCGTGCGCGGGCCCTGCTCCAAGTCCC